AAAAAAAGGCCCGACATATAATTTAGCAGACTTTGTTTTGAAAGAGGTGAAAATGAATATTCCATTTTTAAAATAACCTCTTGACCCAAAGATACTAACATTAACTTCTCCATATGAAATTTTCAACAATATCTCAATTTAATCGTGGTGTTTTGTTTTGTTGGTGGAGGAAGCCGTGGTAACAAGAAAAAGAACCAACTTCCGACCCTTCACCGAAACGTAAATTTAACATCTTTTAATACTTAATTCGATAATCTCTCTTTTCCGAAAAACTAACTGATAAAAGTTGATACAAGGAAAATGTCAGGGCAAAATTTTTTATGTGAATAAGAATTAATTCATTTAACATTATATAAAATTGTCAGTGACCTTTCTAGATAAAATAAAAATATAAAGATAATCAAATTGAAAACGCTTTTGTTTCAGTCTTTTTTTTAATTGTCAAGTACACAACTTTCTAGTTTGGTTTATTTTTATAATTCTACGATACTGTGTAACACATTTCTCTATTCTAGAAAATGATATAAAATAAGGAGATGCGGTATGATTGTCAAAATAGACAACTATCTACCAGAGACCAAATAACGTAAATGTTTGCAACTATAGATTACCGTACAGACCCCCAACATGGAGCAAAACCATTCCCGCATATAAAAGCTAAGAAAGGCCCCGACATGACAATTATTTTTAAATAAATTTCAAATAAACGAACGTTTTGAACAAAGATTGATGTAGAGTAAAAAATCGGATTCGAATGTGATTTGATTCCTGTGGTTTTTTCTATTCATTTATTTTGATCACTTTGTAGATTTTCCATGTAGTCGTTCAACAAAATAGTAAGAAATGGGAGAACAACGATCTTAAACTTAATCGATCCCTACTATGACACAATGCAAGAATAATGTTCGTGTTGTTTTGCTGGATCCTCGTCCGTGTATTGCGGAATAAATTGTTACTATTTCATTGTTTAAAAATCATCTCAACATTATCAAATAAACCCATACAGGTCTAGGTTAGTCTATGGAAAGGTATATACTATGAAATTTAGAGCGAGGGGCTTGCCCCGAGCTCTTAATTTCATAGTATATACCTTTTCATAGACTATCCAATTTAGCACATATTTACAACTCGAGTAATCTTTTAATTGGTCTATTGATAGATTATTTTGGCTGACTACTTGTATCACAGGTGTTTTTAAAACGCAGCTCATTAACAAAGTTTTGTAAATCTACTCACTAGTATCAATGTAAATTATGTGATTTCAAAAGGCCCTCGACTCCAGAATGAAAAGATGGTAGCTGCTGGTGTAAGTATATTTATTGGTATAAAGCGGTGTATTACTATACATGTACTTCTTTACATGGTAAGATGACAAAATAAATTGACCAAAAGCAGGCAATAATTAAATTGCAGTGGAATCTTCAAATATCTTGAAAACATTTTTCAATTTCACAGTAAAACTAAAGCTATAATAAATTTGAAACATATAGATAGTATGCAGTGGCGGATCCAGGGAGGGGGTTACGGGAATTGGAAAACCCCCTTGTTTGGACGATCAATGCTTTTGAATGGGGACGTATGGTTGGAAACCCCCCCCCCCCCCCCTTATCCTGGGTTGGAAACCCCTTTTAAAAAAGGCTGGATCCGCCCCTGGTATGTCCCCATAGATAGTCTAGCGGATAGTCATTAAAAAGCAACTACCAATAGATCAAAGATACTAGGGTTTATATATTTTTTTCGAAGTAAAAACTAAAAGATGTATCAGAACATGTATATACATATATATATATAGGTGGCACATTCTCTTCAGACATTATTACGGGTTTTCAATTCATGACATCGTCCTGAACATGCATGAAATATTTGCCACTGGACATTAAGCAACCAATAATCAACCAATCAATCAATTCATGACGAAATAGATCAAGTTGCCTTAATTTCCCTTTACAAGGTTTCATAGTACACACTTTTTTGTGTACAAAGTAATTGCATGGATGATAAATCATAATTTTAAGATGGCGTTGTTCTATAATCAAGGTATAAAGAACCATATTTGTTACTCTTTATTTAAATGAAAGAAACTTGCAATCGTCAAACTTTTTTTTTAGATCTAAAAGGTATTTAAAAATCAATGTAAAAACTAATTACAAACTATGTTATTTAATTTGGAACACAGCATTTAATTTAAAATAGCCAGTGGCAATTTTTGTTTTAATATCTTGATTACGATACAATGAAATCTTACCCTTGTGGTCATTCATGCGTAGTTACTTAGTACACGGAAAAAGTATGTACTATGAAAATTAGAGGGCAAATTCAAGCAATTTGATTGGACGAGAAGTTGTAAGTATGTGCTAAGTAACTATAATGAATGATTATCTGTGCTTTTTGAGATGGTCCCCACAATAGCCTGTAGTGGTATTGGTATTTAACATCAGCGTCAAAATCATATTGACTTTCCTAACACGTCTATTAGTCATGCCCGATACACTTTAAGTAAATAGAACCTCAACTTAAACACCTGCAACGGGTTAATAGTTCGAAAGACAAAAAGTAAACAAAAGATATCCTTTATGTAAAGGATATAAGCCGATAACAGAATGGACTGTTAGAGGCTTATATCTTACTTAAAACATTGTTTAACACGTCAAAAAGGTGAAAAAAATGCAAGCAAATACAAACTTTTGGTAAGATTTATTTTCATCAAGTGTGAAAATTGTTTTGAGAATAAACTTTCTTTACATCAAAATTTATCCTACATGTTGGCCCCTTTAAACAGTAGCTCAACTTAAACAATAGACAAAAAGAAAGTACAGCTGAAGGTAAACAACATGTATTGCTACATGAAGATAAAGACACAGCGTATGCGTATCATGATTGTTGCGTGCACATTAACTACTCTAAAATAATTTCCTTGAATACCTTCACATGCGTTTTGTGTTTCAAAATCTATGGATAAAGACGATGAAAGTATATTCTTAATGCAAAAACGAAGAGAGTGATGTCGTTATCAGTAAATGTGTTGTTTCAAACTTTAGATTAAAATCAAATGTGTATTCAGACAAATTCGATTTCAGTGTGGATTACAAAGAGGATATAGTTATAGCAGCTAATAATGGAAAGTTTTATATTTATTATATTTCAAAATGTAGTCTTCTATTAGTTTCTTGTTTCTTCTGGGTTTTTAATTTCTTACTAGGTGAATGAGAAAAAAAGAAAAACGTGAAGACAGGTTCACATTGAACCATAACGAGTGCACCGCAGTCGGTTTTATTTCAAATATATAATTGATATGAACAAATGAAGAAATAACAACGTGTAATCATTTTAAATTATTTTGTTGTTCATCGGAATAGTCAAGAGACTGTTATTGTTTACCAAAAACGGTACCACCTGAAAATCCCCCCTTTTTTCTGTTTTCTTTTTTCTGCAAGGTCGTGTCGCTCTTTTTTCGTTTATTTGTGTATTGATGTCCCTTGTTTTTTTTTTTTTTCTTTCTTTAATGTTACCGAATCATTATTTTATCTCTCGATTTCCTTTTGATAAAAAAAACTCTCTTATTTTCTTTTATAACATAAAACGATCACTACGAACAAACTTTAAGTGTGAATCGGACACGATTGATTTGTTTAACAGATAACCTGTGGTAACGTCTTCCTTTATTCTGCTCCCCATATTCATTGTCGTTAATAGGCGAATTGTTGCATTATATTCATATTCAAGCAATAATATCAGACTTAAAACAAACAACAACTTGTAAATCAACGCCGAATTGAAAATTATAAAAACTAGTGAAGTCCCCTAGTTCACGAAGCAAGTTCTAGATTTGCACTTTGTACACAGGATGAGGTTTAGGTTGTTTATGGTCCTTGTATTGCCGCATGCTCTATCAAACGTTCGAAGCATTACTTTATTTCTTTGTTTTTTTTTTATTTTAATTGTAGCTGAACATGATGTTAGGAAGAATAAGAGCAACACCAGAGGTCAATTTTGAAACCAAAGACGGACGAGGATAAATCTTTTGAAAAAAGAAATACATAAAAGCAACAAAAATAAGACTTGTAACGAGCTTTATCAACCAATTGAATTGTAGCTAAAGGAGACAACCCAAAACATGAGAACAGTTGCTGTGATATAAGTATTAGTAGTGTTAAAATCAATTTGAAAGGGATTTTTTTTTCTCAAGAAACCGTTTTGATGAGTGACAAGATTATTGTATATGAAGGTGACTTTAATAAAATGTTTTTTTTTTTTTTTTTGGGGGGGAGGGGGGGGGGGGGGGGGGGGGGTAATTGTCATTTGTTCTTTGGTTGTATTTTTTTTTTCACATGAAGAAAAAAATTGGCAAAATTGATAGTTTTTTTTTCTTCTGTGATTGGACTATCATTTACCCGTAAGAATCAGTTATGCTACCTTCAGCTGTCCGATATTTTTAAGAAAGAGGAGGGCTATAAATATTGGACATTTAAAGGTAACATAATGGTTTCTTATTCGTAAATGATAGTCCAATCACTGAAATAAAGAACGGGTACAACAATAGAATAACGTCACAACAATGTTTTAAGAAATGAGATCGTCCCAGGTATCTTCGATAATTATGTTGTGTTGAATAATGACGAAAACTGTAAAGAAAGGTTGATAAGAATTAATATTATCCGAATTAATATTATACCTTGTAAAGGCGATTATCATGACATTAATCGGGTAAAATTATTTTGTTTATATAATTAACATCGTTTGTATTTTTTGTGTTCACACTTCGTATATATCAGTTTTTGTTGGTTCGTAAACCTGTCCCGTTTAAGATGTACTGTATCTCTCTTGTATCGTGCTACAGATTTCGTTTTTTTTCTGAATACCCTTTAATCTTTTTTAATATGTTTCTTGATTGTGGTGTAATCTAAATTAGGTCATTATGTTTTGTTATCGATCATCATAGTACTTCTATTTTTCTATCAACGACGTTACTAATGAATCTCGGATTTTAATTGAGCACTCACCTTTTGCAGAAAATTGTTCTGAAACTATAGCAACTGCTTTGCCTATTTCATCCGCCTTTATAAGATTAAGTTGTACAACATTTAAGTTTCTAAGATTCCTATTTCTTAGTTCGCATGCTCCTTTTCCACTGAAGTTTAATACACCAGCAAACACAATAAACCCATCATCGACCAGCCGGTTTGCTAAGTCGTGTCCAAATCCTATAAAAGAAACCGGCATAACTTACTATGCGGTATGGGTTTTGAAGGCCGTACGGTGACCAATATAACGTCATTTGGTCCCTGGTGGATAGATGTCTCATTGGAAATTATACCACATCTTCTTATTTTTATATGAAGATAACATTGACGTTGTTTCTTCATGGAGAGAGTCAACTTTTTTCCCTTTTCACTAAACAAGGTCACTTTTCACGATTTCCGAAAGCTTAATAAGTACATCCATTGTACGTACTTGTATATACATGTAGCTTTTTTTTTTGTTTTTTTATTGACCGTTACGGAATATTTGTCACAAACAACTACGGTTATATTTGATTATGTACATGTGTTGCAGCAAATCTTTTATCCCATCCTTTGACAAAGTATTGATTGAAGATATTTTATCGTCTCTATTTAATATGTTTACAATATTTTTAGACTGTGCGATTCAGAACTTTACATATTCTATAGACACTGTTTTGTATGTCAATATAGATATCATTTATATGTTTTTTCTTTCGTATTGTTTGGTTTGTGTCTCTTTGATAGATTTTACACATCTCATAGATAAACAGAGGCCTTGGTTGCCGAGTGGTCTTCAGAAGTAGTCCAACTATTGTATCAATAGCCTGTCAACACCGAGGTTGTGAGTTCGAATCCCGCATGTGGCAGGTGCTCTTAACTCCAAACTTAATTGAATAGGATTTTCAATTTCCCTACTCCAGCTTCCTCCTTAAACTGACCGCCAGGAAATAGCACAATAATAGCGTTAGACACCAATCTATCAATCACTATCTAATATGGCAAAACCGTATGCTAATCAATATATCAATTAGGCTTTGTTCGTGTCGTTTGGGTGATGTCTCATTGACGGATTCTACACATCTTGTTTTGCTTATTAGATAAACAAATATCAGAAATATCCAATCCAAGGTGTGATGTAGTTAAAATCAGACTAACTTACCTGTATCGCATCCGGTTATCAGAACAGCCTTTTTATTTACAGGCAAGAATTGCTTGAAGTTCCGTTCCGTGACTTTTAATGCCAAATAAAATATCCCAAAGCAGATAAAACTCGTGTAACACTCATAGCAAACAATAATTATACACAACAGTAAACTTGTTGTAATTAATAAGCGAAACATCAAAGTTATGTCCATTCTTGTACAATTAAGTAAATCTAGCTATCTTAAGCATATACTAGATAAGACACGATCGAGTTGATCAACTCTGAACATCATATTATTATCATCAGTATATCATATACATGTATCAGTTGTTCTAAAATCGGTCTTATAACTATAGAAGATTTATAACAAATTGGACAGTTCTTTGTCATTTTACATTCCTACTTTTGAATAATAATTAGAACGGTTTTGGAACAACTGGTACATGTATATAATTCATAATGATGTACAACTGATGCAGGATTAACTATACGAGACGTAAACTACTATATATAAATATATATATACAAGTCTAAATTAAAAACAACGTTCAAACCTATGATTGCGTTGGGTAAAAACCGCAATTTTTATACGTGTGCATGCAAAACAAATTTCTTGTTAGAGGGGTCTTAATACAGCACAAACAACATTTTCCAAAAGACCAAAAAAGTGAAAAAGTATATTTTAACAAAACGCATTTGACTAACAGGTCGAACAACAAATGTACTTAAACCCTGCTGACTGCCATTGGCGATTGCCAAATAAACGGATCACCGATGTAATAAATGGATCTTAATTATAAATTTGATACTAAATAGAAAACAATAAACTTGCGGAAAAGGTGATATACCGCAAACAAAAGGTGCAAAGGTTTTTGTACACCATATCCGGATTTCGACAATTAATGTCTCTTCAGTGATGTTAGGAATCGAAACGGTATTTAGAAAGCCATACAATTTACCTCAATTTAGGATAGACTCTTGAATTTTGAGGAGTCAAAATAGGATGAACGGATCATATAAACCCGAAGGCAAATATAATACAAGCCCAAACGAAAAAATATAAACAAGTCTAAATTGAATTTATAGCTTAATATATATATATAGTACAAAATGAATTGACAGCCATTTTTTATATCTTTCGAAGATCAGCGCTTAACATGCAAAGACAAATTCAATCCTCAAAGGAGGAAGTTTCAGTGGGACAGTGTGACCTTTGCTATATAAATATACAAAAAATAATATATATTTACTCAAATTTAGCCCAACAATGTTAGATCTGCAAATTTGCGCCAGGTTTTTCCTCGGCGGGATTCGAACCCTTTCTTTTGTTACATCACGGTTACAACGTTTGTACTGTGGCCAGCGCAATTGACCACTTGGCAAATTAGGCTGCATAAAAATAAAGATTTCGTTAGTCAAGCTATGCCTTTCATCGTCGGCTTAAGATACTGATATATATGAAGGTAAAAGCAAATTCTGTTGATTCATTGAAGTTTTTAACCATTGTTTCTATCAGGAGTTAAGTAAACCACAACTTTGCGACTATATTCAAATAAAAGTTTGGGATCTTAGACTCTCTTTGACTGTATCGTACGTTATCACATCTATACAACTATGCAAGGAAGACAAGAATGAAAATGGATAATGAATGTTCAACCCATTGTTAAGAGAACGTGACAGCTTGACAGAACAAAATATACTTCGAATTTAAATGAACTCTTGCTAAAAACAATATCAATACTTAACCCTTATATGATGAAAGCTCAAAGTTTGATAACTTTCGTTAGCACTTTATTGCTTATTCTCGCTTTAAATCCCGGCCCACAATCTTCAGACGACCAAACTTCAATTAGCAATTGCTTAATAAACATTAAATAAGTATGCTGTATTTGCAACTTAAAACAACTAAATATTAATCACCCCACTATTACATTGTAAATAGGATATAAAATTAATAATTATATAGATATAGTTACAAAATAGGCACAAACAAGAATCACAGTAGCAGAATACGTTATAATCATCATGATATTATCCAGTCCGTCACACACATCCTTCCACGTTATGAATATCTCAGTTTTACATTTCATATGGTCCTTTTCGCCATCGTTACACAGCGGCGTGACGCGTGTAATTTTGTTACCTCTTTGCCATTTTTGCCCAATAAATTTCATTAGAAAGTTCATTTTTGCCGATTCCTCTCTGTAATAAAGTGATGTTATGTAAATGGAAACAACAGCAATAATTCCGCTCAACAATATAGTCGCTATCATTATGATTAGTAAAAGACTCATTGGATTTGACGCTGCAGGTATAGACGTTTGTACCATTGACAGAAAAATAGTATAAGATAGTAATACTGTCAATGCAAGTCCTATACGTTCTCCAGCCTCAACCGGAAGTAAAAATACCAATGGATTTAAAATACTAAATAAAATGAACGGACAAATCACTACAACTGTGTAATATAACGATGCACGTTTCAGTGTCAGTTCAATCACAAAAATAGAATATCCAGTTGACGGGTGTGGTGTCACATTATTCGATACTAATTCCCAATCTGAGTTTGGTGTGAAGGAGGACAAGTCAATAGGGTTTGAAACTGCTAACAACCGTATGTCCTTTGCATAAACACCCCAAGCAGCGAACTCTAGTTCACATGTTTGTGAATCGAAAGGAAATTTGTATATATTTGTACTACACTTTGAAGATAATACCTCACCGAACGATACAGTCGTAGAGCCATTGTAATCGATTGTCACAGACAGTTCATTGCCTAATCCCAAAGGTTGTAATGTACCAACAGAATTTAAAAGTACTAATCTTGGTGTCCAAACGATTGTGTGTGGCACTATTACATATTCAGCATTACCATATGAAGAAGGTGTCCATGAAAATTCACCATCAGTCCAGAAGGCTGATATTCCTCCCGCTATCTGCAAAGTCTCTTCCACTTCGCGAAATTGGGTAATTGTCATCAAATGAAATTGCAATTTTACTTCTAACGGAGAAGAGAAATCAGAATTTGGAATTAACGATTTTTGGTGATTCGCAAAAATATCACTGTAAAGCTGTTTCATATTTGATAAAGTCTGACTATTCCCAGATGGTAATATACCAAGCAAAAACATAAAACTAACTGGTGTATCCATGTATATTCTTCTTTAGCAATGAACAACACATTTAATGAGAAATAAAAAAACGGTCTGAATAACAAACCCTTTTAAATACTTTGAATAAGTATGTCATGTACATAACCTTTTAAATTATTCCTAATATTATTCTATTTAAAAGAAATATAGAACAGCAGTATGATTTAATAAGTGATTAAATATCTTTCAAGCAAGACATTATAACCAAATCACAACTGGATTAATAATAAAAGTTTGTCACGTTACTTCAAAGCGGTTTAAATATTATTCAAACAATTTACTAATTGGAAACTTAATATCAAATTGATCAATAGTTAATACAACATTTTTGTTTTGGCGTATTATGTCAATATTTTTTAAAGATTAAGTGAAATACCTGAACAACTGAAACGTCAGGGTGGGAGGGGTTCAAACTTTAAATTGTGTAAACACACGTGCGACTGTGGATTAGCAAAATAACCTCTACTCATATATTGAAGTTTTGTAAAAAAAAAATCCCTACATTTATATGTACATGTATATCTATTTCACCACAAAAACAATACCCATTCATAAAACTCAGTCATCACGTGTACAGTTACAAATATTGTGATTAGATTTAAATGTTTCCATAACAGTTTCAGTAGATAATTATATTAAACCACATGGATCATCTTAAGAATTAACTAGATATAAGGAGGCGCACAATATTTACACACATTTATACAGAGATCCATTGGCATATCATTTACAAGGAATTCAAATTTTACTTCGGTGAAATTGCCACACAATCATATATTTCATATATTAAAAAAAAGGTTTTATTACCTGCGTTTATATGAAAAAGTATTGTACACGCTTTAAGCCTTTTAACATTAACTATATATAAGTAATAAGACTAATAACACAGGTTATTTAATGAAATGGCCATTAACATATAAAAAAAAAAGACATAGATGAACGGTTCAAGCTGTTCCTGATTTAAGGAGTGCAATCCTTTATGAACAAATTTTTGGATCCAGAAAAGCTCAACACGACCGAACATGATCTGATACTGTCAAACAATGGGAGGTTTAACTAGCATAACAACTGGTTTAATCCACCAAGTCAGGAATATGACAGGTGTATCCATTCCTTCCATTGGTCAAACAAGTATAACAAAAATACCGAAAACAAAGGCTAATTCAAAAAGGAGACGTCCATTAAAACTGACAAAGGAGTAGGGCCACGAAGGGTTAAAAACGGTCCCGTCTCAGAAATTGACGAAATTACTGCAGAAGGATCACTTACTAGACTAAGTGTAGTTCATCAAATGATAACCATTACACTTGTAACTGTGTTTGTATAATTTTCCAGGGCGTCAGAAAAGACCAAGGTACAATGGTATTTTATCCATTTGCGCGTAACGTTAAAACTGTTTTCATTAACGTTCTAGTAACTTTATAATCATTTTACCACAAGGATCTTTTTACAAAATATTTCTTGAATCTCGTCCATATATCTTTTTTTTTTAACTCTATTAACAGAAACTTACTAATATTAAGGTTTAAGCTGCAAAAAGCGCTTCAATTAAATTTTGTATAAGTGGCCCGGATACTCGTTTTCTGTATTGATATTCACGAAATAGAAATTGCAGAGACTATGTAAACAAACATAATTCTATAGCATAGATTAAATTAAAAGTCATAAAGGATTTTAAAAGATAAGCAATGAATGTCTTCTATTGGGCAGAAGGTATTTAAATTGAAAGCTGTAAAATATCTTGGCGAGCGAAGTACAGTCGTAAAAAAGTATGAGGATAGTTGATCACACCACATCATCTTATTTGTATACGGAAATAAAGCCGTGATTCACTTAAACATAGAAAAGTTTATTTTCAAGTAAAGAAGTAAAACATGGAAACACAGATAAGGATAAACATTGTGTATAGACAGTACATAGCATTACATATACTTCAATAATCATAGAATACATCATAATTGTACAAAAGTCATCAGACACCATAACCACACGTGCACTCATAAACATCATTCTCATTCCGGAGGTTTACATGATTACTCTCAAAGCAACATTCAGAATTAAACACTTGAATGAACAATAGTTTCTTATAATACTACCATTTATACGTCACTGACCACATTATATAGTACTGCTATCTCGAATTGTACCTCAAGCGCATGAAATATGTAGTCATCTGTAAAAACTGAAATATAATTCTTTCAAATGGTTCAAAGAATCCTTTTTAAATTCTCCCGGAACTTTTTTGCTAGATAAAGTAATAGTTTAAAGGCAGTGGCTATTTTGCCGGCGCCGCCAAAATTAAAAATATGCTATTTTGCCAACTTTCGTTAAGCGGAAGCCAGCATGCCAGTAAAAAAAAATGTGTTTACAGATATGCAATTCAAAACTGACTATTATTTCAAAACTAAATTTAATTTAAACATTTTTGATTTTGAAGCTTTGTGATTGATTTTTTAGACTGTATAACGTTTTTATCAATTCGATTTGCTATGAGATTTTTGTCTTTCATTTTTTTAAAGCATAGTTTAAAAATCTGAAATTTTATTCTTATGCATACGTGTAGTATTAGACTGATTTTAAAAGTAATTTCAACTAGTAGTAGTACATGTTTTGATATGATTTCATTGCTACAAATGGATGCTCAATAGTTTTTATTTTTATTCCTTTTTACAAATTCTTATTTTCACTTGGACTCATAAATGTTTTAAACGATTTTATGTATCTCAAATATTGTGACATTTATCTTATTCAACTATATGTCGAA